AACAAAAGGACAGCAACTTGTCTGTTCCCCTTCCCCCAATTCCCCAGCACTGTTCCCATCCCCCAATTCCCCAATAAAAATCTTTAAAAAATAAAAATAAATAAATAAATAAATCCACTAGAGCAGGTCTTCAAATAACGTCATTTTGTTCAACGATTTTTTTGTTAAAACGTTGATGAGATGCCACAGGAACTTAACTCTCATGTATATCAGTTGGCCTATACTAGAATTGGTTTTGTTATATATTAAAATTGGTTTAAGCATATAACATTATATGCTTAAAGTTGCAGAACCTATCAACGACGTTAAGTGAGGACTTACTGTATTATGCTTCTGTCATTTTAGTTACTGTAGACTAGGACTGGAACCTCAACTTAGCCAACTGATGGTGCTGAGCATTTAGGGGGTCACCTCTAGGAACACAGAAAAAAAATCAATAATCTGGGCTTGCAATGTGCCTCACACTGTGGAGAACATGGACCCTGAAGGGTTGTGATGATGCTGTGGCCATGGGTGTTCTTTTTTCCTAAATATAACAATACAAACTAGTATTTTAAAATGTTATATTAACCTAATAAAAGTAAGAAAAACCTACAATTAAGGGCATTGACAAACTAGTTTATTCAAATGAGCTTGAGCAATGGGGTGACCTTTCCTGGGAGGCAGCAGAGTGTAGGTGGGATAATGTCGGCATGGATGTTGGAACCAGGGTTGTGACCCTGATTTCTGAGCAGCTCTGGGATCCTATAAAAATAACACCTTCCCCACCTCTGTGCTCATGGCCCATGGGACAGCTCTCAGGCATCCAGCTCACTTTGCAAGAACCCCCCAATAATATGAGCCTCACTATTTTGCCGTAACTCCAACTTCCCCAGCTCTTATGTGAGCCCCAATGAGGCAAGTTTAAAATCCATGCCCCTCCATGGCTCCTTCTTCACACCTATCCTCCTTCACCTGCCAGCCCTACTCCTATTCCCTCTGCTCCATGGGCCAGGAGGCAGCTGCTTTTGCTCAAGTTCAGCCACCTGCAAAATACCCGTGTGCCCTTCACCTCAGACTCCGAACCAATCTCCTCACAAAGCCTTTCTGGGTGCTTTTGACCACTCTGACTGCACCCTTCCCCAACACAGTGCTGAGACCAAATGTGACAATAGCTGCTTATGTCTCATACTCGCGGAATTTTGCTGTTTAACAGACGTGCTCTGAATGACGTATGTAAGTAAAAAGTCGACAAAATCTTTCAGGACTTTTCATGTAAGTACAGGAATCAGGAAACAAAATGTTCTTTGTCAAACCACGTCAAGATCTTTACGTTGAGAAATATAATCCTAGCTGGAGTCCACAGAATATGATTGGCCCTAAAGTGATCTCCCATGCCCCCTTCTTATTGCAACGATCTGCTACCCTCTAGGCCACTCCCCTCTGTCCACGATTTCTGCATGTGGACTATTCTCTCCCTCCATCACCACTCCTGTCCTGTGCTGAGTAACTTCCAGATTCACACAGATGTAGGAGCTCCCTACTACCCCGGCCTTTTGTTCATTTCCTCCAATGTTCTGGGCCCTCTCTACCTCAGTCACTCGTCTGGCCAGGCTCTATGAGGGATCCTGGACCAGAAGCGCCTGGGAGGCCAATTATTGGGTCTTAGCCATAAGTACTGAGTCAGAAAGTGGGCTGGGGCTCAGTGCTCTGTGTCTTAACAAGCCCTCCAGGGGATGGTCAAGTGTGAGATACATACTCAAGTGTGAGAAATGCTGCTCTATATCTTGCCACTACCAATAAGTGCACTGTGTCCCAAATGTGCAAGTCACATGCCCTACTCCTTGACTCCCAAGTCTTCCAGCTCACTTTAGCTGGTGTCTGTCACCACTGGGACCTCCAAAACATGGACAAGCCCACTGCCTCACTGTTACTGTTCTCTTGCATACAGCCTCAATCTTGCCAACTCACCTGGCAAAATCTCCATCAGGTAAATGCAAGTCCCCCTGATTCACTCTTGCCCTTGAACATGGCTGGGGAACAAGACATGACCACACTGATAGATAAGCCAGTCTCGGTAGGAATTCATGAGCTGTCACCTCAGGTGGGCTGTGCATGGCCTATTCTTCCCTCTGGTCCATCCTTACCCCCCTCCCTGAGACAGTATTTCACACTCTCCCCTTTTTCCTCAAACATCCAACAGTTTTGCCCCACCCCTCACTTGTAGATGACCATGTTTTTCATTGACTGAGAAAACAGAAACAACTGCTAAAGAAATGCCTCATTCTTCCACCATCCAAGTTAGGAACCTCCCTGTATGTGACCTACATACTTGACCCTTCCCTTCCCTGCTATGTGTGAACTGGTATCCATCTCCGTCTCCTACAGAAGTACACTGTGACCACATCATCAGCCTTTCTTTCTCCTGGATCATCAGTGCTTGCTCTCCATTTTATCACTCTCATCAGTACCAGCACCCTGCTGTCCACTTGCACTGCTCCCTACAAAGCCAACCCCACAAGAGTCTTCCAGACTCACTTTCTCCATTTCCACATGTCCTGTTCTCTCCTGAGCCCACTCTAATCAGGATTCGGTCCCCAACACTAATTCACTCCATTGGACTTGGCAGCTCATTCAGCTCCCAGTTCTGCAAAGCCTCTGAGATAGAGTGCAACCATCTGAGATCAAGCCTCCTCCACCCTCCAAATCCATAAAACTCCCTAACTCAGTAGCAGCACCCCTTTTCCTTACCTTAAAGCAATAGTCATGGCAACAGATGCCAAGATGTTCAAGAATAATCTTTGGACAGTCTCGGATCTCTCGGTTGCAGTAAGTACAGATCCCTCCAGTTGTTCTGTGAGATGCAAAACAAGAACCCAGTGGTCAGGATGGCACGCAGACTACTGATGTGATGCAGCCAGACCCTCTGCTTGGACACAGCCAGGCCTAGGTTTGCTGCAGGATTCCCAGCCTGCCATCTTTCCTGTGGTGTGCAATTGGCCACATAGCCCTGGGCCAGCCTGGGCCTCTGTAGACTCTCACATTATTTCCAGAAAGTGGTCATGGATCGTCACCTTATTCACTATGATATGTGTAAATACCATGATGTGATTCTTATTTCAGGCAGCTTGCCTCTCCCTGCCCCCTGGCCAAGCATATCTGTGCCCCTCTAAAACAGGAAGATCCATGTATTTTTGTACAGGACACATGTCCTTGTATACCCTACCTGGCCACGTGTCTTGATGGCACTTCTGTTCATGCTTGGGGCCACAGAGCCCTGCCTCTTGAACCCTCATAATACTCACTGTATGACTTAACACACGTTATCTATTCTTTCCAAACCTGTTTCCTTCACTGTGACCTGTGTGAACTGCTCCCCCATTCCAAAAATTGAAAACCAGGATTTCTGTATCATTGAGACTATCCTGTGACTTCTGTCATCTAGTGACAGTTTTTGACACTGCTGAATGAGGCACTCTTTACACCTTCACTTATTTCAAATCAATGGTTTTCTCTGGCTCTTTTCTGGTTGATAGAAACTCGCTTTTCTTCATTTGCCACCTATCACTCTTCTATAGTGTTTTTTTCTTCTAGAGCAGCGGTTCTCAACCTTCCTAATGCCGCGACCCCTTAATCCAGTTCCTCATGTTGTGGTGACCCCCAACCATAAAATTATTTTCGTTGCTACTCTATAACTGTAATTTTGCTACTGTTATGAATCGTAATGTAAATATCTTTTTGTTTTCCGATGGTCTTAGGCAACCCCTGTGAAAGGGTCATTCGACCCCCAAAGGGGTTGCGACCCACAGGTTGAGAACCGCTGTCTAGTGATATTTGAAAGTTCATGAAGAGATCAACTGGGTTCTAATCCCAAGGGCCTCTCCTGCTAACATAAGCCTCTGAGGCCTTCTCAGTAGCCTTCTGTGTTCACCCTCTGGTCTAAGCTGGGCACAAAGGCCACAAGTGTGACATCCCGATACTGGAAGCACCACTCTATGCAGTGGTGTGACAGATCTGAAAATGGATCAGAAGCAACAAAACAGAAGACAAAAGCAAGTGAACTTTATGTGGAAAAATCTCTCAGCTGTTTCTCCTCTGTAGACCTGTGAGCTCCCTGGCAAGAGCAGACTTACCTCTCGGAGTATGGCATGCTGTCATATGGGGGTTTCTTCTCTATGTCGAATGAGTCCTCAGTGCTGCTGATGCTGCAGGGAGTGTGATGAGGAAAGAGGAAGGCAGAAGATGAGAGCAAGGTCACTACCGGTAATGAACAGGGATGCTTTCCTCACTAACCCTGTGGCCACAAGCTGAGACCTGACTTGGCATGGCCAGCCATTGCTTGTTCTGCTAAATGGCAGGGGAAACTTTCAAGTTGGTGCCAAGGAGGTATAATTCTCTCAGAGAAGAGCCCTTCTATTGGGGGGTGGGGGTGGGGAAAAATATCTGCCATCAGGGCCGGCCGAGTGGCTCAGTTGGTTAAGAGCTCGCTCAAGAGTGTGAGCTCTGAGCAACAGCGGTTCGATGCCCGGCCCGAGCTGAGCAGCTACTGAGCTGCCAACAGGTGGCAGGATGGCGCAGCTAAAAAAAAAAATATCTGCCATAGTGAGGCATGGCTAGGATTCTTGAGGCTGTGTATATACCAATGAGGACTTCCCATTTCACTGACCAGTAGAAAAGCTACAGGGCTTTCCCCCCCACATATGTGTCTGGGCTGTAATGTGACAGTCACCAGAAGCTCACTCACAGTAGAAATTAGACAGTAGAGATGGGAACAAAGAAAAGAAGGAAGCATTCTGACATAACGCCTGTGCCTGGATTACAGGGTGGGATGAGGGTTTTTTTTTTTCATTTTTGCATCTTCATTTTTCAATAATATGACTTTATAACAAAAACTAATGGTTAAAAAATAAAACTATTGCCAAGTTAGGGCTACTAACTGCAAGCCCTTTAGTGAAGCTGCCATTCTCATAGAGCCATGTGGTGACTCCGTGAGGTAGTCAGGAAAACTGACTCAGAGGTTAAGCGACTTGCCTAAGGTCACACCTGGAGGACAGGGTGAGCTAGAATTTCAGCCCAGGCTCCAATTTCTTCTGAGAATTAAGTTTACCTCTAAGACTCCTGAGGCAACAGAGGAAAGCACACTGGACTACACAATTCCCACTGTCCAATAAAGAAAGTCTACTGGTTTGGCATAAGATGTAACATTTTGACTGAATATTAAATTCAATTTTAAAATAAATTGAATTGTCAGAGTGTAAGAAATAAATTTAACAGAGTGGTGGGACTGGGAGAAGAAAAACAGGACATGGACAGCGTTCAGTCGAGTGACACTCATAGACGCAAATGCTGGATGGCAAGGACATCTCCTTTGGGGGTGCTGGGTGGTTTGCACACATTATTTCTAATCCCAGAACCTCTGTGAATAAACCCATAGAGACAGAAAATAGATCAGTGAAGGCCCGGGGCTGTGGCTGGTGGTGTGAAGGGCTGCTAAAGGGTACAGGGTTTCCTTGGGGGGTGATGAAAATGTTCTGGAGGTGGGTGGTGACGGCTGCACAACACTGTAATGTACTAAATGCCACTGAATTGTATATGTTAGCGAGTGAATTTTGGGGCGGCCAGATAGCTTATTTGGTTAGAGCACGAGCTCTGAACAACAGGGCTGCCAGTTCGATTCTCACATGGGCCAGTAAGCTGCGCCCTCTACAACTAAGATTGTGAACAATGGCTCGACTCGACCTGGAGCTGGGCTGCCGTGAGCCTCCGTGAGCGGCCGACGACTGACTGCCTCAGCCGGGTAGAGCGCAAGGCTCATAATACCAACATGGGCCAGTGAGCTGTGTCCTCCACAACTAGACTGA